TCAATAAACATAAAATGTGCCATAAGTATTTTGCATTCTAGTCAGTCGAAAACAGGATCGCTATCATAAACGTTGCTCGAGGCACAAACTAATGTTGTTCAACATAAGAACCCAAAGCACTGTTGCACATCTACTCTGCTACAAGACGAATTTTTCAACTCAACCGCTATCGCTCTCCACACAACTCATGAACCAGCCACATGCAACTTTCAGATTACAGCACATAAAATTAAATTAAAATAATTAACAGCTAATTTCAACATAAGTAACCTACAGTAGTCACAAAGCTTACCACATATAAGGTCTTGGTAGCGCTCAATACACTTTATCAGTCTTTCGCAAGTTCTTTTTGCGGATAAGAAAATCTAAATATATTAAATTATTTAGTATAGCGCAACTGGATTGATTAAACAACTGTTAAACGAACAATAACAGCATTATATTCAGAGTGACTATTCACATAGTGTAACTAAGGTTTATTAATCATAAACCATACTGCCCCGCACGTAATGAAAGGGATGCCAATATGATATAGAGTTAGAAAACATATATGGACAGCGTTTAGTGATTCTGACCACTGAGGAGTCAAAGGATGATGCTTTCTCAATTTTTTGGTATCATCCAAAAAATCGGTGTTTCCGGGAGAATCGTTTTGTTTGGAAAGCACACGGCTCAGTGCAAAGCACCGCCAATGGCTCTTTTACGGATTTATGGAAGTAGTGGCGGCACAATTTTCTCTTAGCCGTACACATAATATACTATGTAAAAGCGAATATATCCTACGACATAAAAAATTTCAGTAAATCGTTATGCCTGAAAAAATGAACAACCGTGAAATGTAAGCACATTACGAAATTCCAAAAAGGGGGAGGAGATCGATTCATTGCCTTTTGGAATAGTTCTTCCGCGCAGATCATTTACAATTCGTCGCTTAAAGTAAATAAATTTGTCTACCATGAATAGCGAATCGAAAATAAGTCATACCGAAGAAACAGTTAAACATAATTAATCTGTTTTAATACCCGAAGGTAACAAAGGAATCGATGTCAAAAACTGCTGTACTGATATCTCCTGGAAGCGATTTATTGATGCGCAAAGTCACGCCTCAAATATCTGAAAAATGATAAGAAATGACTCTTATTCTTTAATCTACCAGAATTCAAGTAACACCGACAGTTTCCTTCAAAATGAATCCTCCGTTTTTCTCTTATTCGTGTCTTCCCTTGCCACAGTGGTCCGCTGAGTCTAAAACTTACAGATTAAGTTACTCTCTCTTGACAGAGGGCGATCCAGCGAGTTTTTGCGATCATTCGGTTACCACTGGACCATTCGACGATAACAGCTGTTAATCAGCGGTCAACGCTCTATTCCCACGATGATATGTTTCACTCCAGTTTGCAATCAGATAGCCGCAACTGGACCAATGGTCGTAGAAAGAAATTCTGACATTCTCTTTCAATAAAGGAATATATAATGTTCCTACACTTTCGCTTTCGTCAACGACCAAGTATCATGGCCACCAGTCTTGCCGGCATCAATAAACCTTTTTCATTTCCAAGTATCGACTGAACCCCGCAACAAAAGTTTCTAAGAGTTTCTGACCACCTACATTTTTATCATTTCAACGGTCAGCCTATCTTTTCCAGGAGCCCTTCTTTCTTTTATCTGATAATCTGCGTTTCTACCTTCTTCAGCAAGGACAGGAAATGCTCTGTCCTCTAATGCCCGGAATGTTCATGATTGGATGCCTAGTCTTGAAGAAAACAGCCGAGGGCAGAACTTTTTGCAGATGGCCTCCATGCCTGTTTTGTCTAATATTGCTTCTGTATCGTTGTTCTTCAATACCGTTACACTTGGTGTGTAGAGCGCCAATTCACTCCGGTGTTTTATTAGGCTTCCGTGATCTTCAGTCGCCTAAGTTAGTGTTTCATGAGGTCTTCGCTAAACTGGCTTCGTTGGAATTTCCAGCTCGGCTACTCTCACGTATCGACTGAGTTAATCGGCAAAGCTCTCGTAGTCTACATCCCAGTATTCCTTCATACTTCAGGGTTCGATGGAAATGATTCATCAAATTCTTTCATTTGTTGTCTGCGATTCGAGATCCATAAGACTTTCACCTCCAATTTTTTGTTGAAGACGAGTCTTTCTTTGTATAGTGATCGTCACTGCTGGTGTTAAAGAATGGCACTACTGAGATATCTTATACAAGGCAACGTTTATCAAACAATATGTAATCAATTTCGTCCTCGGTTTCCGCGTTTACTAACATACCATTCTTCTACTGCTCTTATTCTAGATCCCGGTGTTGCCAATAAACATCTGCATTATCTTTGCCCGCGTTACCAGCCAGTCTCTTCGAGAATTCTATTCTTCAGAGTCATACCACACAAATGAACTTTCGCTCTTTCCCTCATCCTGCGTTCTTGCTGGTCTCCAATGGTAATAATATAAACAAACTCTAGAATTAACATTTACTCCTTTTACTGGTAGAATTCTTTTACAGCATTTTCTTCACTTGTACTTGTGCAAACAAATCTGAATGATTTCCATGGTGCCATTTTAGTCAGTTGCAGAAAGAGCAGTCTTAGGCGTGATGACTTCAACTGAAAGAAAATGATTCTTCAAGATCATGTCCTGCTGATGACCACGCCGACTCTTCCAACGGTTTTCATGCTGCCTTTTACCAACTTCATGATACTACTGCCCGAACATTTATCGTCTAACTCCTCATTTTTTCGTCTTTCACAGAAACGGAGTGTATGTCGCAGGTTATCTTCAACGTTATATGGTCAACCGATCCCCTAACACCCAAAGAGTCCTGCTGTTGCAGGTGCATA